GAATTGTAAATAAAAGCAACAACGTCATGGAGGATCAAATTTGTTTTCCATAATTTTCTGGTATGTATATGTTATGGCCAAAGCCCGAAGTTCGGCCAGTTCAGGAATAGGCTGACCATTTCACATTTCGGCCAAAGTCCGAAGTACTTGAAATTATTATATTGCATATTCTACTTTGGCTGGCCACTTCGCGAAGTGGCTGGGAACCCTTGGCCACAGCTCGATGTGATAATGGTAGATTTTTTTTAAGCACTATTTCGTGAGACTATGTGATATGGGATATTTAACCTTAGGTCTATGAAGCGTGAGTGAGTGAGTGAATATTAACGTCGGACTGTTTAGCTACTCGAGGGCTGTTGGCGACTGACCTCGTAATGTTGAACCATGATCAAGTGACGAGGATGACATTTGAACTGGTACCCTCTCTCCTAATTACCACACCAACGGGAGGGATGTTAGAGATCTTGACAGATTTAACATGCATCGCTCCCCTATACGGCGGGTCATCAGGGGTACTGGGTTTGAACTCATAATAAGCCAGCCACGAATCTGTTACCTTGACCACTTGGCTACCGCGGCCACTTTGTCTATGGAGCAGAAAAAGACTAAGGATCACTCTTAAAGGTTGTTGACAAATTGAGTACTGAATTTGCCTTTGTATTCACACACGATACGCAATCATTTCTTCAAGATATATTTCGTCATTTTGAAGGGTGCAAATCTAATCTTCTTCACGCTATCACATTCTTACAGCATATACGCTCACTGAATAATTTCTATTACGACTTTAATATGAGAAGAGAATTTACACGAGATCATATATATATATATATAATCAAAATTTCTCTACAAGAGAGAGATGAATTAACATGATTAATACTTAAAAGAATAACAATTGCTAAATAACAAGCCAACAGAATTTAGAAGGAGATATGAAAAATTGAAATAACAGAGTAATATATAAAAGAATGGATGCTTCAGTATTATCAACATTGCTGACTTAGGACAGCTTGTATACATAAAATTTTCTTTAAAAAAATCTTTCTGTATAAAAGTGGGGTTGAACATGTTTTTTGGCCAACCAACCTTCCCCCTTTCTGTTAATAATACCGAGCAAATACCAATTGGAAATAATGGATAGGAAATCTAAATACATTATAAGGAAAAGGTAACTTACACAAAAATTGCATACTGAAATGCAGAGCCCGCGCTAAATCTGAGTACAATAAACAAGTTATTGCAAGATTCTGGACTCAAATACAATTTCAAAACAAAGCAAAGGCTGAAAAATAGCACTTAGCAAAAGTATGAAAAGAATAGAAATAATAAAATAAGAAATGTAAACATACTACCATTAGCTTAGAGACTCTTAATATGGTTCAAAAGTTATAGTAAATTCTAAAAAAAGTAATTTTATCCAAAACTAGAAACTGGGGGTATTTAAAACTATCTAGGAAGAATAATAAATCTATAATATAAACCTTTTAAAACTATGGAAATTTAATCCTTACTATTTAGAATTTCTTTATTTAAATATCTATTAATAAAATTAATTGGGTAGTTTTGAATTAAACCGTTTTTAGTAAAATATTTATAATTTTTTTATTTTTTTCTGATTTATTAGGAACTAGAAATTTATTGCGTAGTTTGTAATTAAGAACAATATTTCTGAATATAGATACATGCACATTACTCTCCCAATGCGGTACTTTTATAATATTGAAATTGAAGTCTTCTCGTTTATCATAAATATTAGTAACTATTAGTATATATATATATATATATATATATATATTGTTCAAATTTTCAATTATTAATAAAATACCTTCTATTAATCCGATCAAATTCAAATAAATTTTTTTAATCTTGTAGTGGATGACACTTGATGCTAATACACAGTAGTTTTTTTCAAACATATTTATTCATTAATTAAATTAATTAATTGTCGGTTTTCGATGACAACTTAGATTCGTCTCCATTGTTGTAAAAATGTAACTTTTAAGACAATGACAAAAGTTGGCGTCGAAAACCGATTTTTCAGCCAAACTAGCCAAACTGGGTGTGCATTGTTACAACCATGCAGACAAATCATGCTCTTTTTTCAGTTAGTTCACTCTTTCCCTCTTGTGTTCAAATTTTCAGTCGTTGATAAAATACTTTCTATTCATGCCTTCAAAGTAGGAATTGAGTTTAAAAAATTTTTTATGTTACTTGTTATATGTTATAAGCTTATTTTAACTCAGAGATGTCACTTATATTTGAACTTGTTTCTGAAACAATTGTACTTAAAAAAACAGCTCACAGAAGTACTCTATTTTAACAGAATATAAAACGATTGACTTCTTTTTTCCTACTTTGGTTGATCGTCCCCTGCCACCTCTCGAATGGATCGGCCAAAGCTCGAAATCAAGTTAAAATCGAACATTGGCCTCTGTAAGTTTATAGCAACGTAGTTCAAAACGCGAATTGGCCGATTTCGGGCTTTGTGTGTATGTGTGTGTGACTGTAACATATATATAAATAAAGGTAAAAACGAAGTAAAAAATAATTTTTATGTTAAGTATTGCCACTAGGAGAATGCAGTTTAGGTACTTGACATTTTTTTTAAGGTAAAAAGTCAAATTAGTTTTTGTTAAAGAAAAAAGAAACGGCTAATTTAGTATTTTTTAACATTATTGCGGTGAAAGGACACCTACTAAAGAATTATAACAAAAATATCAAGCACATTTAACTGCTTTTTTTAAATATTAAATTCAAAAGACAAAAACTTATTATCGAAATGACCGTGCATGACAAAGCGGAAGACAGAAAAAAGCTGGGGTTATGAAATGTTCCATTGTTCATTGTACTATTTATTACTCAATAATCACGTATCAATAATCCTCCTTTTCGGTTATTTGTATTGTAAAACAAGATATCAATCATTGGCATGGCCAAGTAATTTTAGCGCGTTTTTCACATGTTGTATTTTACATTAGAAAAATTCGGGAAAATTATGGGAAAATTTAAATATGATTCGGATCATCTAGGGCACAAATGCGACCAAATGCCGAAAACCCAAGGTCAATTGGTTGCTTATTGGCTGAGAAAAAGGTACGACAAAATATGGAACGAAGACGAAATTTGCGTCCTAATAGCGCTTTTGTTCCACTACGTGAAAAACGCGCTAAAAATCATTTTACTTTGAGTCAAAAATCATTTAACCAAAATGAAATCTTTTTCCATTTATTTAAGAATTCAACTCCTTTGGGGCAATACTAAATTTTGAAAGGAATTTTAAAATTATTTTTTGCCTATATATATATATATATATATTAGTATATATATAGTATATATATATATATATTATTATATATATAGTATATATATATAATACAGAGTATATAATATATATACTCTCTGTATTATCGAACATCTTTTCCCCACATAGGAAGGTTCCAATTAATAATAATTAATATTGTACATCCATTTTAATCAACATCCCATTAAAACGAGTCTGAATTTTAAAAAATTTAAAAAATTTTGAATGAAGGCTTGTTAAAAATATATGTTACACTTTAATATAAATATCTACAAGATTATCTTTGCATGCCTAAGCTAAGAAACATGAAAAGAAGATAAATTTCAATAGAATTTTTCGTAAAGACGCTCACCAACGTAAAATTTTACTTTTCTCAGCGACATTTCAGAGCCCGAGAAAGAAAAACTATTTTCTTACGTGATCTGGAGGGTTACCAACCCCAAATAGCAAAATGCGCGCAACGTCAAGAATCAAAAGCGCACAAAACTATTTGCTTTTCTGTTCACTCAGCTTGTGTTCTGGCAGATGGAAAAACGCATTCCGCCGGAAAAACCGACGCTTAAAAAGTTTTGGGTAACAAGCGACGCACTCGCTTCCCCACGTGGTGGCTTAATTTTATTTGTTTTATTCTCCTCCCCTTTTGTTTACGGTACAGTTTGAGAAAGAAATAGAAATTTCGAATGCCGCGGAGAACGCTGCAAACGATGCCGAGACACGAAACGGAACAATCCTGGGGGCTGGTGAGGAGAGGGGAGTTATTTTATTTTTCTATTATTCCTGACCGCGATCGTTTGGCAGTGGAAGGTTTTCTCGCTTTTATGGAAATGATGTGTGTTTTGTTCCAAAAACTTTGCAGAATTGTGTTCTTTAACTTTGGTGCAGTGGAAGTTTCGAGCTAAACGATACGCGCGCACGATTTCTTTCCGGGTTATATCGAAGTGTTCGGAATTTAGTCATTATCATAATAATCCCTTTCTACGATTTTTTGGAATTGAGTTTTCAGTACTTTGGATTTGTGCCCATGAATTTTTGTGAACTGTAAGCGTCCGTCTCTTTCATAAATTTTGCTTTATTGGGTGATTCGAAATTCAAGCAGAGTACATTGAGTTCCAAACGAAAGGAGAGATATCATTTGATATTTTTAGAAGAATTTAATAATTTTAAGGCTTACTTTTGGAACACCTTACGAGTGTGATAACACGTTATTTTCATATCTTTCGCCAAAAGTTCGTTTCAATTAAAAATTCAAAAAAAAGGGGGGGGATTATGATAAATGTGATTTTCTAGAAAAAATCACAAGAAAGTCGCCCTTTTTTTTAAAGTGACAAAAATAATTTAGTTAAAAGTATCATTGGTAGACGGCACTGACAATTTGAAACAATACTTTCAGGACAAAAGTACGCTCCGTTTTTATTTATTCATTTTATATAACAACTGCTCAGCATATCTCCAGGTAGCGGTAACCTAGTGGGCAGGATAAGGAACTCGTGGTCGGCGTGTCAGGAGTTCGAGCCTGGTACCCCTGAATACTCGCTTTGTAGGCGGTGATGCACGTTAAATCTGTCGAAGCCCAGCTCAGGTGTCACCCTTGTCATTTGACAATGGTTCAAAATTCCGAGGTCTGGCGTAAAAAACTTTCTAGTATATAGCTAACTAGTGCTACCTTAATATTCACTTACTCACTCAACTTCTCTCCAGTGTCCCTGTAGCGCAATAAATAGCGCATTGGACCTAATCCAAAAGTCGTGGGTTTAAATACCATTTGGGATGGCCTAATTTTTCTGTGGCCGTAATAGCCTAGTGGCCAAGGTAACAAACTCGTGACAGGCATGCCATGAGTTCAAGCCCAGTGCCACTAAAGACCTGCCGTGTAGGGGCGTGATTCACGTTAAATCTGTCAAGAGCTCAAATGTCTTTCCGTTGGTATGGTAATTAGGAGAGGGGAGTGCCAGCCCCAGATGTCGTCCTCGTCACTTGACCGTGGTTTTGAATTACGAAGTCCGTCACCAAAAGCCCTCGTATAGCTGAACGTTAATATTCACTCACTCACTCAACATACCTCCAAGACAATGTCGGATGGAACTTAAGTGACTCTGCAATCTTTGAAGCTCGACCAATCACTCTGTCCTCACCAAAAGTAGTCAAAAGTAATCGTTTTACTGGACTGGCATAATATGGAGGAGACCATTCTACATGAAACTTACTACAGATAACACACCTCTTTGATTGAATGCGGGTACGATTACAAATACTTTTGATGCTAAAAAAAATTCGACTACCTTGTGAGCCTTTTCTTGCAATCTACACTTCTTTATCATCATTTCTACCTTTTTCATTAATTTTTAAATTTTATATGAACTTTTGGCACACCCGGCCGAAACCAGTTTTACATTTAGTTCCATGTGATTGAGCACCACTTGGAAATGAATTTGAAAAAACTGAAAGAGCGATTGTATATTTATTAACTTCGCACTGATTGGGCTATTTTCAATGAGTCTCGTAATTTTGAATCATGGTAAAGTGACAAGGATAACACTTTATTTGGACACTACTCTCCAACCTCCATAATATATCACTGAATGTGACGTTATTAAATAATCAATCTGTAGGCCAATATTGGAACCTTAATATTCAACGGGCATAAGCCCACCACTTTGTTAATTGTTAATCTACTAGGACTCGAACCCATAATCTGACCGGTCACGAGTTTGTGACTATAATCACTCGGCTACTGTGATCAAACAGAGAGATACAAGCAGTCAAAATTTTTATAAGCATATTTCACGCTGAAACTGATATTAGTGCATTCATACGCGAGTATAATTTCTCATCTATTCCAATTAACGTGATAATGAACTCGAGACCAAAGTGTTGAAAGTTCGAGTCCTGGTGCCACAGAAGACCTGCCGTGTAGAGGAAACCGATACTTGTTAAATCTGTCGAGGTTTATTATCTTTCCGTCGGTGAGGTGTGTTAGTTTGGAGAGCCCATTGGTGAGGTGTGTTTGTTTGGAGAGCCCGTTTGTGAGGTGTGTTTGTTTGGAGAGCCCGTTGGTGAGGTGAGTTTGTTTGGAGAGCCCACTGGTGAGATGTGTAGGCTTAGAGAGCCCATTGGTGAAGTGTGTTTATTTGGAGAGCCCGTTGGTGAGGTCTGTTTGTTTGGAGAGCCCGTTGGTGTGGTCTGTTTGTTTGGATACCCAGTTGGTAAGGTGTGGTAGTTAGGAGAGGGGCGCCATATCAGGTGTCGTCCTCATCACTTGACCATGGTTCAAAATTACGAGGTCCATCACCAAAAGCCCTCGAGTATAGCTGAACAGTGCGACGTTAATATGCACTCACTCACTCACTCACTAGTTTGAAGTGGGAGTGCCAGCTTAAGTGTCGTCCTCGTCACTTGATCGAGATTCAAAATTACGAGGTCTGTCCTCAATAACTTTCGTTTTGCTTTATAGTGTGACGTTAATATAATTCACGTTACAAGCGAATTTCTGCTCACTGCGGAATCTCTCCATTTCATCGTCTATTTTCAATTAAAGGAAAATATTTTATTATACTGGATTAAAGTTTGCAATATTTACATTTCTCAAAGCAAATGAAAAATCAAATACGTGTTGATCTTATGGGAACATATTTTTATTGTTATATAATAGTGGTTTTCTTTTATTATTTAAACAATTTAATGCTTTTTGCATTGGTAACAAGTTAACTACTTTTACTGCAATTATAACTCCGAGGGAAGGGGGATCAAACACAAATACTATCATTGCCATAAAAATGTGTGTATCAAGAAAAAGGTGTCAAAATAAAACGAAATTTTTACGCTTGTAAGTACAGCGTTGGCAAAATCAAAGCAAAAGGATGGAATGGATTGGAAAATTTAGTATCGTGTTGGGCCACCTCTAGCTTGAATGTATGATGTGATACGATCGAGCATTGAGGCATACAAGTCCTGTAGAATGTCCTACAACATCTCGTTCTACAGCTGCTGGGAATACTCCTCTAATTCGACCAAACTCGTGGGTGGTCCAGCTTGCCGTTCTAATTTATTCCAAATATGCTCGATCGGTGATAAATCTGGGGATTGATTAGGCCAGGAAAGGGTAAAAATTTGACGGAAGTAGTCCTGCGAAGCCCTTTTTGTGTGTGGGCGAGCGTTTTCCTGTTGAAAAATGACCTCTACGAGTAATGCCACGAAGGGGCAACACATGTAGCTGAGAAATGTTCCGAACGTACCTCTATTTCGTCATGGTGCAGTGGATCAATATTAGGAGTGACCATGTATCGTGTGCGATCGCACCCCATACCATCGCACCAGTTGTGGGAGTGATGTGCCTCTGTACAGCGTAGTCAGAGTTGAAATGTTCACCACCAGGCCTCCACACACAGACACAATTTTCATCATTGCACAAACTGAATGTGGCTTCGTCCTTGAAGACGACATCTGTTCGGTTACAGTCCAATACCTTTGAGTACGAGACCACTCTAAACGGAGATGACGGAGAGTGTGTGTCAATAACAGTGCACGTAATGGGTACCGTAATAGCAACTGCTATTACTATCCAGGCTCATTACTATTCCAGGCTATCCAGCTATCCAGGCTCATTGTGATGGAACGGACAGACATAGAAATACGTACAGGAGGTGTTGCCTGTGTATGGTGGTGGAGACTGTTGGCGCTATGTGTGTGACGATCTTCTAGGCTATTGGTTTGTCGAGGGCGTCCTGAGCTTTCCCTGGGTGGTAGACTTCTTATTTGTCCACTGGTCCCAAAATCCTCGTCACAATAAAGTTAGAATGGTCTAGGTGTCGAGCTACTTGTTGAGTTGATAACCCGGTTTCCCTCATGCCTATTATTCTGGCTCTCTCCAACTCTTAAAGCTGTTCTTATCATCTCCGATGGCAGCCTAATGGCATCTCTAGCTAAAAAGCATTTCTTTGCAGCATATTAAATACACACAAACAAGCTTTTTACCTGCTTAATAATCCAAAGAGAATGTAGTTCAACACCTTGTGCTGGCATTACGCAATGCGCAATCACGCTGTTTTTCTATTGTTCTGCCTAACACGTACCTCATGCCAAATTTCGTGATCATCTCGTTCTTACTTCTTGGTGCAGAAATTTGATGACAATGAATATATTTAAGAATTTTTCTTCTTTTTTATTCATTATGATTTAAAAATTTATATAATTTTGATAAATTTTTAATTTTTGATTTTTTAATTCGGCTTTTCACCATCAAATGAAATCATTATACTTTGAGAGTGTTTATATTTTAAGAAGATTTAAAAAAAGCTTAAAATACGTTCAAAAGTTAGTTAGACAACAATGATGCAAATTTTGCATGAATATGAAAAATATTCTCTGCTCTAACTTATTTTGATAGTTTAAAACTATCTAAAAAGAAACTTATTACTGTGTATAAGTGTATTAATTAAAATAACAATGCTAGAAGTAATAATGTTAGTAAAAAATACTTGAATACGCGAATGCTTATAATTTTTATTACATTTAACATATTATTAGGAAAGGAATGCACATGTAGCGCCACCATTCATTTAATGCGTACAGGTGATACTGCCATTCATTCACCATGCTCTATAACTTGTATAAATAGTAATTAACAATTATAATTAAAGCAGTTTTTTATATTTTTTGGTGAATTCCAAATAAAATTTTGCTTAGCTTTTCCAGCTCGATTGTTTTATTTTACTGAGCGCGTGGATTAGTTCTCCCCCCCCCACCTACACACACTCACTCACAGTTGTACAATTTTAATAATAAATCTGATTTCTAGTGGCGTAACGGAGAATAGTAGTGCGCCCCCCTCCCCTCCCCTGCAAAGTCATGTTTTGGGCCCCAAGTCGGATCTCACAATGGGTAAGTATCGAGCGTCATTCAGGATTTGTACCCTATAACCCTGGGCCACCTCGCGATGTGGGGGTGCGGGGGTGTACGTTACGTCACTGCTAATTTCAAAAATAACAAATGTAGTCTATCGACGAAAACTGTCAGTTTATCGCTTGTTGGTAACGATTATTTTAAATATTTAATTTTGAATAAGGATAAAAAATTTAGTTAAAAATTAGAGTAAACCGCAATTATACAAACTCGAATTTTCTATACATTTTTTTTTTGAAAAACTGTGTAGATTATTTCGGGTTTTAATATAATACTGACCTTATATATAATATTAGAACTATTAAATGTGTACAATTACAAATAAAAACGTTTAATTATTCTTATAATCTTACTTACGATTTTATTTCTCCAACACTTTGATTCAAGTGTTCAGTTTTCATTTTATAAATCACTTGAGTAAGCTGTATTGAAATATAGAAAAACTAATACTTTCAAAACAATTTTTAAATAAATAACAAATAAACTTTAGAAGAAAAGATGCCCTCACTTAAGGGTTAATAAATAGATACTCAGTAAATTTTAATAATTCGTCAAAAAGGCAACCACCGAAATGTTCGCGTATATTAGGGGATATAGTTTTATAAATTAAAATGACACACAGTAAATTGTATAATTGTTATTTCTTCTAAGAAGGACCAAAAAGGTAGCTAATGTTATCTGAATAAAATTATTTGCAATATATTTCCTTAAAAGAAATCAAATATTTATTTTCCTTTTCTACGTAAATAAACGCTTACATATAAACAATGCTGGTTAAAATGCCCAACGCGATTCAATACTTATTGCAAGAAGTTCAAGAGTTAAAAGAAAAAAAGAATATTTCTATGACTTAAAAAATGTATATTATCTCA